AACATTTACTCCAAGATAGTATTTGAAGGGAAGACATGAAGGCTGAATGCGGCACCGAAAAACCCGATGCAAGGCGATGAGATCAGACTTGCATTACAATATTGGTCAAATTCTAGGTTAATTGTACCACTCGAAGTAAACAATGGCGATGCATTTCAGCACCTTCTGAACCATGATTCTCAAACACAGATGGTCCATTAGTCTTGGGACTGTGTCTGACTACCAATGTCAGGTAATTCTGAATGCGCAGACGAAATGCAGCATCGTTGATCCAGATCAATGAACGCGAACCAGATTCAGGCTCAACGAGGCACTCGGACGAATGGCTGACTGACTTGACATGATTGGGAACAACTACGGAAAAGTCGTCAATCACCGGGGAAACTGCTCTGATCCGAAAATCGAACGGTTCGGTTGTAAAGCATGAGTTGGAATTTGGACGAACATGTGTCCAGTGTTATGGCGTTTAACTCCGGGCACTTGGTCAAAGAAGGAGAACGCGATATCACGAGAATTTGGGTGCTTGTTTGTTGTAATTTGACAGATTTTTAATCAAATATTCAAGTCATCTTTACACTTATTAGGCATTTTAAACGATACCGATGATTGACTACATAGATTTCAAAGACTTGAGGACATAACTCAGTGTATCAACACGTCAGGCAGTTACTGGATTTGACAAAATCTTCGACTGTGTCAAGTCGATGTCTTTTGAAAGGGATGCCAGCCACTGCGTGAAAATACTGTCGTGCAGTTCGCTTGGTGTGTTTCGTAGGGCCTTCCACCAAAACCTGCAAGAAAATTGGAATCATCAAATTACCGAAAATTGCCTAATCAATCCTCAGTTAGATTTGCTTTTCTAACGAGCATTTTTTTATTACGAGATCGAAAGAACTTTATGCTTCATCTAGCCAAGTCTACCGTTTCATTTGTAGCTAAATTGAGCCTTAGCCAAGGAAATGCTTGGTGTTGTGCGCAATTTCATCTGAGAATGTATCATTTATCTCATGATCTGTGGGGTCCCATCTAATGAGCCAGAAATGGTACAAACCGTACTTGGCAAAGGGCCTGTGCCATTCAATAAAACGCCGTCTCAGCACGGCCGTTCGCCATAATTCGCCTTTCAGTGGTTTTCTGTGTGGCAAACCTGCCAACATCCGATCAGGCTTTAAGATTTTCCGTGAACATAGTAAGTAGACAATTGTTTTTGATTTAACCAAGAGTTGAGCGTCAAGCGTTGTACCCATACGCAATTTGCAAACATTACGCATCGACAAACGTCACGGCACACAGCTCAAACCGGTGAAGGAACTAAAAAATTGCAATTTCGTTTAAACGCACAACATTCCCCTCCTGTTTGAATCGTAAATACAAAAACATTTGGTAATCGCCTTGACTAGTTTCACGTAGGTTGAAATTTTCACAAGGTTGGAGAAAACATGTGCGGCCTTCTCACCTCCAATCGCTTTCCCACAGTCATCGGTCGGTGAGATAACCGCAGCCTTACATACTTTTCTAAAACAACCGGTGCAGCTTCCAACAGAAGTGTCGCAACATCCCGGTGACTAGGTTATACGTGACGTTGTTATGTGTGAACATCTGGAATTCGTGCAACGAGCGTAATCCACAAACCCTAGCGCAGAGGCAGTGGCAGCGCGGTTTCGTTTGCGTCTGCAGACTAGCGGCAACACCGAGGAGGCATCGCAGTCTGATTTGTTTTATCGCTCTCTTGCTTATGACCTTGACTGGGGTTGACGTCTACAAGAGCCTGGGGACTTCAATGATGCCTGTTTGGATTTACGGTGGCAGCACGTCGTTTTCACTGCTGAAGGCAGCTTGTTAGCTTCTGTGACGCAGTGATTTGAAACACAGTTCTGTTGACACGGCTTAGACTTGATGAATTAGGTCGGAGCAAATACGAAGACACCGCATAACGAAAAAAACTAAAGAAAACGAAAACGCGATCTACCAATCAATGAGTAGCAACTACCGGGCACTACGACGACCACTACTGCCCCCTCAGAAGAATCAAAAGAAATGCTAAAAACGTTTTTTGGATATTGGGCGCTGTTAGTCACAAAGCGATGTTTGTTTAGGCAGATGGCCGACGTGAAGACAGTGTAATTTGTGTTTCCCTCTTGATTGGCATTCCGATTCTGCACTTTTTGAATTTACTTAAATGCCGCAAGTTTGATCTCAGTAATCCTCATTTTAAGTCTATCAGTCAACCTAGCGGAAAGATATACCTCCTACAGATTTCCCTGTTCAGCCTAATCATGGTTGGGAAGCAGTGGTTTGGTTAAATTTCAAGGTACAACTAACACTAGTGCGAAGCTTTTAATGTTGTCGTACATCCCGTTTAGTGAACAAGTCCAGCTAGATATGACCTCAGATGTCTCTAAGTCACCCGTGGCAACATGTAACCTTCTGATAACGCTCAAGTGCTTCGCGTTGAAGCAGCCGCTAAGAGACTCAAGTAAGTGTGGACTAAAATTGCTAAATTTGACTAAATTGAAGTTGGCTGGAGGTTGTAGATACCACTAACTATTAAAAAACGAGTTTGTTTAGCAACCTACAGCATTACATCTAAAAACTGACGACCGCATGTTTTTAACGGTACAAAACCACAGCATCCAAGTACGCCATGGCATTGCGTCTCAGATCCGATTAACTTGTTTTAGATTAAAACAACGTGGAGGGAAAACAGTTTCCAATGTTACAGCTGATAAAATACACGAATACTAGACTGTAACTTGTTACTTCAAGTGTATAAGTTCGATTTACACCTTTTTATGCTGTAAGAGCATCAAGACAACCTTTGGAAAGTAGTGAATTAATAGCACAATATTTGTCGATAAAATAGAGTAGGATCTGTCTCGTATACTGATAAATTGATGGACCAGAATGGCACTTAGTCGAATGTCACAGTCGTTGCCCTTGAAACAAAGTTTTTTCCTCGCACGAAGACTTATATACCGGAACTGGAATAGAATGCAGCCAAATCTGATTACCGTTGATGAGTTGAAATACATACCAGGATCTGACATGGTGGAACTCGAGACACTAATTGGTGAATATTGCATTCACATTGACTTTTAGAAAGAAGACTGCCAATCAACCAGTTAAATGACCCACAGCGGATGTCATGTGGGTGCATCTGTGACACAGAAAAAGTTGCTCAACCACATTTTAACGTCCATTGCATAAGATCGCGTCTGCAAAAGAAACTAGCCAAAAAACCACATCCTTTCCACTGGTCTCCTACAATACTGACTTAGTGATCCGTTCTTGAATTAAATTATGCATGCTTAGGAATGTTACACTAGGCTACTTTCCATTCAAACACCAGAGCCTATGCCATGATTTGCAAAGGAAAATATGCCATGCCTTCTAGCTTACTCATCGCCAATAATCTTCAAGAATAAGATAACTTTTTTAGATACACACTGGAATTTTGTTGAAGGTGCAAGTTCTCGTGGTACCTAGATAAAGTGCTTCACATTCAAAAAGAGTTTCAACCGCAAATGCTGTCGTGCACCAAACGCGACTGATTATAAGCCTTTATGACAACAAAAAATTGCACTGTCGTCGTTGATGTGTTTGCTGTTGCCATTGTTAACGATTTTAGTATTGCAAAGTAGACAGCTAAAAGTCAACATATTAGGTGTGCTCACTGTGGGAACTAGAAGGCAGCCGCAAAAAATTCAATCTATTTGCGGACGGTTAAAGCGTGTACATTGTGCCTGGTCATCATACTAGATAGAGGCAAACAAAGCAAGCCAGTAAATTGAGTGAAACATCTGTCAGCAGATGTGTGCACAGATGATATTACGAAAAGGTCCTGGATTAGAGTTTTCCACACAGAAATAAGGTCATGAGTTGGGACGATCATAATTGAGTATAAAAGGTGTTAGAATAAAATCAACGGGTGTGTTATACTAAGCTAGGAAACGACACTTTTCAATAAAACGGTCAAACAATACTTTAAGAGACAAAAGTTGTGAAAGCTTCGATGAGAGTTATGATTCAAAACGATTCGCCAAGTTATAACTTTTATCTTTTTTTCATGTCCACAGAAATCAGTAAACGATTCGCGATTACTGGCATAGCAGTTTACTTCGGATATCAGTAAACAGTCGCCTGAAAACTATTCGCAAAGCAATGAAAATTAGGATTAATACAGGTCATTGGTTAGTACATTGGGGCTTAGGACAATATGAAAAATTAAATTTCAGCAACAGTAAGAATGACCAGTGTGTTGTTAGTTAAAAGACAGGTTGCTTTCCAAGAATTAGTTCTTAATTCAAAAAATTAATGCTAAGAAGGCAAAATAATCCAGCGAAGTGCATTCTTGGATTAAGGAAGTCAATAGCAGACATTAGGAAGAAATTTTGAAAAATATAATTTCAAATATTGTGATTAAATTTCGTAATCATCTAGTTTGTGGCTATGTACGTGCCAATAAATAGGTGACTCCTTAAGCCAATTTTCCAAGTATGGCGGCAAATGAAGACCTTAAAAAAGCTAAACATTCTTATTGATGTTATTTTTTCAAAAAAGGTTAACAAAATTTTATTTATTCAAATTAATGCAATCAAAATTTTGCGTTCAGCCATCAATTCCGTAAGCAACATTTACTTAATTAAAGGTCATTTCAATTTTAAATTTTTTGCTAGCCTAGGCGCAGTGAAGCAAAGTGATCTAAGTTGAACAACACCAAACGTTATGCGAGTAGCTGTTGATCAAATGGCGACATGACAAATCAAATAAATAATCTGTATAATAATTTACATATATATTTGATTATTTGCAAGCGAAATGCTACAAAGTACCTATATGAAATTTGATATAAATTATGTGTCATGAAAAAAATTTTCAAAGCCCTTGTAAGTTTGTTTGAATGAGTTGAAAGTGCACCTTTCGAACCCGTTTGTCGACAGCGTTCGCGTTTTGGTTATCGCACTTTAGGGTAGAAACCCAAATTTTGTGACCTTACTGGAATGGCGAGCACTCCCCAGCACACCGTAGTAATCCAGGCTGCTCCGCAACCGATCGCTGTGCGGCCAGAAGTCGGCTGTTGCCACAAAGCGAGCCTATGCTGTTGTCGTTGTTATCTCGGAGTCAGCGTTTTCCTTTCCGTTTCACTTTTTGTTGCTGGCGGGGTGCTTGCATACGTGTATAGAGGAGATATCCGTGGTGACCCGGTTTATGAAAACCGCGTTATGTGGTAAGGGATGTTGTGTAAAGTTGTATTTTCCGACCCCCTAGGCGTTCTTCATTATTGCTACTAAGTCATTCTTATTCCTTTAAATTATATGAACTAGAACTAATTATCAGAGTTGGTCTTGATGCAACATCACATTTGCCACCTTTTTCTTTTAGGGGGTATGTAGGAGTCGCTTTGCTCGGTGTTGGCACGATCATGCTTATTATCGCCATTATCAATGCATCATGTGTGTGCTGCCTCACTCCAAACAAACGAATTGTCCAACCCAATGCCTTCACTGTTGCCGTGAGTTTCCATTGTTTCTGGTGCATCTTTTGGTTTTCCTTCCCAGCCCATGAGTATCAAGTTTTACATGTTTCCCGTCTTTAATCTGAGTGAAGATGCTTCGTTTTTTTTCTCTAGCAGACCTATTCCACTGTTATTATTACCTCTGTGGTGATGTAGTTGATTGAGATCCCAAATGTTTGGTGAAACGTTGCAACCATTCATTTACCTGAGTTACAAAACTTCACGAATGGGTTTGTGCGGGCACTTGTCTTGGAGGTTCATGATGGGCAGCAGATTTTGCTATGGGTTTTATCTACCATATTTATATTATAAAATTCGTGAAATTTGCTAAAATATCGTATTTTCTGTTACTTCCTAAACTCACGTGATAAGCGCTATCCAATCATAGGTTGGCCAATTTAGTTGACAACTGTTTGAGTTATCTTCGGCTTGTAATTTATTGCCATCAACCTCATATGTCGTTGACCCATCCAGGCCCCGAATGCGTGCTGTTACGAAAAGAGGTGGGAATGCAACATAACTTGCTTGCTTCTCGGTTTGTAACGCCGTTCACATCGCCATTACATTTAGCCCGCTAGTGTCGCCTGTTGTCGAATTTACTCTTAGTAGAAGATCCATTTCAATTTCAGTTCCGGCACCTCACGCACTTTTTTTTTGTATTTGCATTAGCAGCAACCACAAGTTTGCGTTCCGCCACCGCGACCTCCGCCTCCAGGCGTAGCGTCCCCGGCCGCTCAGATGCCATCTATTCCTCCTACTTGCCCGCCAGAAGCCAAGGCACCACCGCTTGATAGTGCTCCTCCACCCTACAAAACCGTAGAGGAATTTAAAGGTTACTAAATGCACTGAGGTTTGGTCCTGGGATTTCCTGAGGCAAATCCTTCTATTTATGCCAAATTATTGACTGCGCCCGTTCTAATCCTGTCTCGTTTTTTGGCTCTTCCCGTTTACAATCCTGTATCGAACGACAAATGCGTTCGCCTCTAATCATGCCCACTAATTGCGTGCACATTGCATTGACAATCATAATACTCTGCTATTCGTATACAGTGACAGTCATTCGGTCACTTTCTTTAATATGTTCACCTCACCCACCACCACGATACAACCACTAATAAATGCCTTTTCACTAGTCTGACCTACTTCAGCCTTCTAGTATTGATTGCATGTTGCTGGTGTCCTATTCTTCCTTGTATCGACAGGGTCTAATTATCTGATTGTACACGACTGCATAGGGTCTTAAAGTGCCGGGGAAGTGGTGTAGCTCCTCACGCAGGAGGGTATGGGATGCTCAGAACAATCTGAGGCCGAAGTTCCTTTTGATCGTCACGAATAGGGCTATTTATTGGTACTGTGTACAGGAGTTGATGTTAACGTCCCGTCTGAACTCTAGTTTGCAGTACTGGCATTTACTGGTCATCCGTCGATGTGCCACACGTCTGACCAGCCCAATGTCTCTGGCTATCCAGTAATCAACCTACTATGGGTCGTTCCCTTGTGCTGTGGTGAATTTTTGACATGATATTATGATCCTGAAGTGGGACTCGCCTTTGACCGCTGCGATTTTTTTGCAGTCTTCCTCATAATCGAATGTGGATCCGTCAAAAAACGCGCGAAGTGTCAGCAAATAACCAGGAAATGCCATGTTGGGCTTAAAAGCTAATCAAGGCAATTTGGCGCATAGAAATTCATTTAGCTTTATACAAGTACTTCAGCTCTGTGATGCGAGTCAGGTTGGACGGCATCAATGGGGCGGCAGGTAGATAGTGCATTTGAACAAACTGATAACCAGAGTAAACTCCTAAGAAGGTACGTTTCAGGGAATCCTCAGGCGTTCGATGCCTAAAAGGAAAACATCCATGGTTTTGTCAAGTGTCTAAGGGTGCTTCACTAGACTATCGAACAAGAAGGCGGCAGCAAAGTAAAGCGAAGTGTTGGGGTGTGAGTAGGCTTCTCTTGGAGATGCTTAATCTCATCATGGTGGACGATCGCCATATTCTCACGTTATCTGTTACACATTCACTCCACTTGTTGTTGACACCGGAGCGGTCCGTAGTTGTCAGTTTGTCTCTTGGGTTTTGCATCGCCTCCATTAGTACGCTTGTCCTATCAATCGACGCTTTCGTTAAGCGCGTAAAATTGAGGTAAACACCGTTAGAACCACAAATCGTCCAGACACCACATCGACTGCGTAATCAGTCGCGGGGCAGAACTGCTAGCATGTGTATACGAAGTGTATAATTGGATGCCAGATTACCTCAGAAGCGGCGGTCTCATCGCCACCTCCACTGCCTCCCTCGTCTACACTAGCGCCTTTTCCAGAGTCATTGGCTTCCTCGTCTTCCTGCAGGGCTTCCAGTTTTTTAGTTCTCGCGGCGTTTTCCGCTTCGAGCCTCTTTCGTTCCTGGGCGATCATGTCAAAAAAGTCGTGTTCTGCCTTTTTAAGCAGCTCCTCTGCGGAAAGTTCCTCGTCCTCTGGCGCCTCTACGTTGCCCTCCCCTTCCTCCTACAAAGACATCTCAACCGTCAAACCAAGTATGCATCCAAGAGCAGTTGGAAAGCTACTGTGGGTGTGAGGACAACTTTGTTTCGGTTCCGGATGTGAATCTTGCTCATTAGTACGCCCGAGGAATACGTTTTTTTTTGTAATTTTTAAAACCCTGAACCACCACAAATTAGGGCAATCTATGGAGAAAGAAGAACGCAATCAATCATTATGTTGTGGCATCAAAGAAGGTGATGGCATGGATTTAAGGGACACCTGGAATGCTGTGTTTGACGAGTGGTTTGTCCGGCATAACCACACATTGCTCACCCGTACATCTCAATTCAAGCGTCATTCGGTACCGTAACTCTTCGGGCTATGGGGTTTGGCGTTGAATACTTAACGAATTCAACATCGTTGATGATGGGAAAGCACACTTACACGGAATTCTAGGTGCCAATGCATAACTTTGGCTTAGTGTGTCCTCCACAGTTTATGTAACACTGTTCGGTTATGAAAACAAGCTAGGCGCAATGACTCGCTGATGCACGCTCGCATTTGCCTCAGAATTAGTTTTCCAGGTATGCACCAATCACGGCTGAAGTGGCTTCAGCATTGTCGGAATCAGGTAGCCAAATTGATATTCGCCCGGTGAGAGGCAACCACTAAGGACTCGCACCTTCTCACTTTCATCTTCGGCCTCCTTGCTGACCGGTTCGCTGCCAGCTGGTGTGGGAGCTGCCGCGGCAGCAGCTGCGGCCTCGGCCATCGCCTTCTGCTTCTCCTTCAGCTTCAACTCCTTCGCTCTGCTCTCGAGGATCTTCTCGCGGTGCGCCTCACGCTCGAACATCGTGCCAACCACAGACTTCTCGTTCTTGCTTAACGTCGAGAAACCGTCTGAGAGCTCGAGGATCGTCGTCGAACCGCCGCCCGAGCCCACCGCCACAAACTGTCCCTCTTCGTGGACACGCACACAGTGCAGGGGCTCATCGCATACCCATAAGAAAAAACGCAAACAATCTACGATTAGTGCAATGCGAAGAATAGAAAATAAGCATTGTAGCTTAATACAGCTGTGGCCGAACCTCGTAAAGAACTCAAAAGCCGTTGGAAGCCATCGGTGGATGAACTACTAAAGTCACACAATTCAACGTCCAAAAAATGAATCATTTAAAACGGCAAGTTAACGAGAGAGAGAGAGAGAGATAGAGAACCTACTTTCATGCTGAGAGTAGGCGCGCGCTGCTTAAAAACGTAGTCCCAGATTTCGAGACAACCGTTTAGGCGTGTCAGGAAGAACACTGCGGGTCTGACTGGACTCCAACATCCATCTGTTGCGCCTTAAATGGCAAAGAAAAAGATCCATCCACAAGTTGTTTGGCTAAAATATGCCTCCACTGAATGCACAGAACTTGTAATGGCAATGCTTCAGTCCGACGGCAGTTAAAGCATCATCCCCTATCATGTAGGTTCACCGTCAGCTGAACCACCAATATTTCATACAGCACTGCAGAAACCTAATTAAAGCTGGTCTTATCAGCCGTGTACCTGCATAATTTAGTTAGTTCAATGCAGGCGCTAACGATGTTTTACCTCGATTACTGAATATGTGGGCTCTGTCCGACAGACGACAGCAGACTCATGTTAATGCCCGCGGCCCTAATTTCTTAATCCAATTTACGCGGGTTAAGCCTAAGCAGTTGAGTGGGTGTGGTGTGACTCACCTGATTCGTGGTAAGGCGTCCACATGATTGGCTCGTCACGAAAGTCCTCCGACCAAACTCTAGCCGACCAGTCCCCGACGGAGAGGAAGAACTTGGTGTAGAATGGATTGCGTTGGAGGGCGTAAACTGGACCCTTGTGGCCGGGGTAAATGTTTGCAACCTTCTCGGCCGGCGATTTGCCCTTACGATTGCAAGAAATGATCAAGCCCTGGAAAAAGTGCACATCTTACAGACAGAAATCTACCTACCTAGAATGCTGAAAAGAAATCGTGAATATCGATTTGTCTATTTAACCTTCAAAATGGACTCACTGGGTATAATAATGGGCATAACACAGATTACAGTTCTCAACACCAGTGATAGTAAGACGTCAGGCATTATAAAATGCTTTTAGTTGCTTCGCATGATTTCCTCTGCAGAGGTGTATAACAAAAGGTCATTTCGAAAGGAAACGCTCCCGGAATTCAGGTATTGCAACAGCTACGTGTAGTGAGTCACCAAGAATTTCTCATCAGAGCGTGGGATTCGTCGCATTCACCTTCTCGCGTGTTCAACTTCCGGCTACCGCAAATCATGATACGAATGTTGTAAATAGTTAACAACGAGCTGCGCATATGTGCGATCAAATTTATTAATTCAACACTTAGAAACTGTTTGCAACCTCTGTGTTTGACAAAATCATCCTACCATGTAGGAATCTCAATAAAATTCTAATTGCGGCAAGTAGTTAGAAAACAAAGTCACTGTTTTGAAAAAAAACATTTAATCACCAATGGAAACGAAGGGGGCGCAATTAACAGGAATCTTCGTGTAATTCTCGTTTTTCTTAAATCAGAAAAGATGGAGAGGAATATTGAGTTATCGTAGTAATGCCGATTCAAGTTCATGAATCCGAGCAGATAAGTATCCAGCTAATTAGTGAAATTCATTTTTTTTCTAGTTAGAACAATCAAAAATGCAAATAGAGGCACAGCGTGCGGTGGGCTAAATCTAGTTATGTACCTGCTCGGTCCCGACCATGAATTTTGTCGGAATGGTTGATTCATACTCCAGAGCGTAGGCACCAATGGCACAGTTGAAGCTCTGGGTTTTGGTTGGATCCAGATACATGAATTCTGTGGGCTCGGACATCTTGCGGACATCCCACCAAAACACCTGTCCGTCTGTGCTGGTCGAAAAGCACTCAGTGCCTGTCTTCGACTGAATCCACATCACTCGCCAAGCCGGGTCGCGGTGACTGTTTTCGATTGGCGAAATCTCTACGGGAAGTGTCCCTTTTCGTCGATCCCATAGACCTTTAAATACAATTTTTAAAATTTCAATGTCTTGAGGTTGTTCACGGCAGTACCATATGCTATCCACTGTTGTTCAACATTGAACCAAATACTGATCAACCGCTTCGATAGAAATAAGAATAATGCAAAAAACCCCAATGCTTCCAATAAATAGGATTCTGTGACAATATTTTGCACGTGTCGATTTTTCTATTTAAAGACCAAATGTTAGGGAGTAATTTGGTTTCAGACGTATGACACCAAAGATGCTAATCGAGGTTTTAATTTTGGTTCATGGGGCAAACGATCATAAATGACCTCGCAAAAACAGATGAGTACTAAGATATTTTGAATAAATAATAAGGTTTCAAAAGAAGTTTAACGATGACGTCACAGCTTCAATTCATAGACGATAGTCATGATAGTGATTAATGAAATTTAGTTGAACACTTCATAATGGTATGCTGTTGAAAAAAGTATCCGAGCGTAATACACTAAAATAAACTATAAAATAACGCAGTTTCCATGCCGCTTACGCCTCAACCAGATGTTTCATTATTGTAGCTATAGAAAGATATTAGCGTACACAGCTGTCCACTATGACAACCTCCGATTAAGGTATGCGCATCTTTCGGATTGAATTCGACACATACTAAAGGCGAAGGTGGCATTAATACAAGATCCGGCTTGTTGGGATTTGAAAAGTCCCAAACATACGAGTCCATTGAATTACTGTTGACATTTCCCAAAAATTCCGTTTTACAATAAGCAACAGCAACCTTGGTAGGTCCGTCGGGAAACCAACTGACGTATGTCGCAGATCGCTTAATTTCATTAATATCACTAAACATTACGAAAAAATGAATACTAATTACCGAAATATGTTTATGGTTTTAGCTGAAGGAGGATCCTCAGAAGCATCGTATTCTACATCATTGAAATATTCTTCATAAATATTCAGGGCATTATTTTGTCTAATACAGTGCTCCATTGACTACCACATAAACAGACAATGCTTATCTTACGTTAGCTAGTGAATGTAATGTCGCTGTGTATAATTCGTCCTTCTCTATCTTTTTCCTATACCGCTGAACCTGCTCCGGTTCGTTGCAATTAACATCTCTTGGCCATCCACCTTCTGTGTGATTCATGCCCCGCACCTCTGATAAAACTCTTTCCGTATTCACTTCGTGTTCGGACATTTCACAGGCATTTTGAATACTGCGGGAAATCGGGTTCCTAGGTATGTATTTCTCAGCCAACTCCGCACTAGGAGGTATATCAACATGAAGCTCGGCAGGACGATCCGTAAAATTGCATTGTTTTCCAAAATCTGCTCTCTTACGCGTGTAAACATATTGAATATCCATATTGCACACTTTAAATGGCTATAACGACAAAGACCAAACTTTTAAGTAAATTCAAGGTCATTTCAATCACATGGGCTTCACAATAGGGACCATAATTTATTCAGTTTAAGAGATGCATCTGGGCCATTAAACACACCAAAACAATAATAAATAATACGTTTATGATAAAGGTGTGACAACGAACACATTTACAACTTTTACGTACAACGAACTAAGCGAATTACAACAAGCCGAAATAATCTGATGTACAAATTTAAAATAACGGGTGTTGTTGCTAGGCAAATCAGAGCAGTTAAAATATGTTTATTGCCATAAACTGAATAAGCCTTTGCTAAAATTTATAACTTTAACTGTGCATTTAATTAAAACGCAAAATTTTTTTAAAAAGTATGGCAATTGCACTAGTTTCTGAGATAGTGTTGTGAATCGGCGAGTTTCTAGGCCGGTAGTTAGGAGCACAACAATAGTAAACAATCTGACCTCATAAGAATATTCGTGAATACCACCCACTTATGTGCCTTTAATAAGCCTAATTTTTACAGCCATTTGAGCGCCTTACTTGCTAATTGTTTGACGGGGCATTTCGAATAGTCCCGAAAGCAATAGGCATTTCCACCTGTGGTCCCTCACAATTTTCACTAATTCCCTGAATCTCCCAATTCGAAAGGCGATAGTTCATGTTGAAAAACCGTGCTAAGCCAACGAACGTGCAAATTTTTTAAATGCATTATAATTTGTTCGGTTAAAGCAATCTGGCACAACTAATCATCTTTAAAAAATGGTTATATTTAAAAAGAGAGAAATGAAGTTCATTTGCGACTAGACACCTGTCCCAATCATTTGATCGACGGTTGAATGACGAAGACAGTCACATGCTCTTCTCTCTAAAACAAGAAATAAACGCACGATGTTCGCTGTACAGCTTAATGAGTTTCGAAGTTGCCACGATCAAGGAGCAAACTATGCTCTTCGAAAATGCAGTGTCAATGTTATCCTAGTCTAAGATTTTTACACAAGAAAACAAACCAACGTACCTAAACAGAGAGAGCTGGTGCCTGACGGATGTAGGAAGTGGAAGCGCACTTACGAGTCGATCAAGGCAGGAATGAGCGTCAAAATCAACATCTAGTAAAAAATTGAGGGATCTTGCTGAAATGACTGGCTTTGGTCGAGATCATATTCAAAGACTACCACCTTGAAAAGTAGGTAATTATGACGTTCCATGGTAGTGTACAGGGATGTTACAGTGAATAGAGAAGAACGAACTTTCTAATACGCCTACCTTTGTCAAGCCTTTTAACTGATGTCAATAGTTTCTGCAAAATCTTCCAACGACACAAAGTTTTGAGTTCCAGAATACCTGCAAAAAGAAAAAAAATTAGACAGTAGAACAAAATAAAAACAGCGATTTGCGGTCATTGATCGAATAAAAATCACAGCAGATGCCGGGATTAGAGATTTACAAATTTACACGAAGTTTAACCATAATATGTTAAGAGGAAAATTCAGGTGGGGCACGCAACAGCAGCACCACGCACCGGGTTTGAGGTAGCCAACAAAGGTCATATCCACCTCGGCGAATCCCCAAACAGTTGAGATGAAGGGGAAGAGAGTGAGTTGCACGGAGTCACCCTGAACCCACACCTCGCGCCTCAGTGTCCTCGTAGTCAGAGACGAGGAAAAATTGAAACTCAGGGTAGTTTCGAGGTGCGATTCACTCGAGTAATTCACGGCAAGAGTCATGGTAAAAACAGCCCCGGGCCTGACAAGGCCTAAAACACAAAACGGTGGTAAAGTGAGTCGTTTTAAAGGGACATAAAATTAAGTGAATGACTTAATTTGCAGATTTGTCTTTGAGCTTACAACGTGTTTTAGTTGATTTTGAGGTTAAAAAGGATCGGGCAAGCGGTTTCAGAACATCGAAAGACAAATCTACGTAAGGTACACAGCCTCGCAGAATAGCCGAGTGTACGACGATGACAACTGCTAAAAAGCACATTCCACGGCGCGGCTTTTAATGCCAAGTCCAACATGGGAATACGCGCAATTACTAGTATAGACGTTTCGTTTGAAGTGGTGATTTCGATCTTAGTGATCGGCTGCAACACGGAAAACAGCCTCAAAAGTTTGAAGATGAAGAGTTGCAAGCTCCACTGGAAAGGAGGACTTGACGCAAACACAACAAGAGCATGGAAGTTGGGTTCACCCACATATGTTGACCGAACACAACCTCAATCAACGTATGAACACATGCCTTTCACGGTTTGCCCGTCAGCAACAAAAAAGGACATATTGTGGAAAATTGTGACGGGTGATGAAAAGTATATTATTCACTTAACCATAAACGTAACGGTAGTGGGTAAGACATCCAGCAATCCAGTACATCAACGACAATATGGGACATCCACTTAACGATGAAGATTATCCTGTGAATCTGGTAGGACATGCTGGGTGCAATTTATTGCAAACTCCTGCCAACTGGTCGTCAGATTGCGGCGATGCGATGCTACAGCCGACAATTGAACAAACTGAGCAAAGAAGTTGACCGAAAAAGGCCGTTTACTGGGCACCACTGTTACTGCATGGCAATGTTTGACCACCTGAGGTTGCTCGCGCGGCTCAGAAGACCCGCTTGAACTTGGGACGGTAAATTGTCCCACACTCGGTACACGCACCAGACTACCACCTGTTTCGGCCAATGCAAAAGCAACACGCCTTAGTGATCAACCGTTTCCAAAACGCTGGACGATGTGTGTTAATTCGTCGGTGATGGCTTGATTGGCTCGACGCCTGCAAGTTTCTGCGGTGACGGCATTCGTGCGTTACCTGAGAGGTGGCGCAAGGTCATGGAAAACGATGGCTTAAAGGAATATTGACTCGCAACTGCACGATATTTGGTGCATTTACCATAATCGAAAGGAGGCCCTACCGCCTGCCGAGAGGGCGGTGTGTGGTAAGCCGAGAGATCCCAGTAGAGAAGACTGTCGACAGGGGAGTCGAGGGTGTTGGGGTGCATTGAAATCCCAACACACGCACACGTGCCACGACAGGTTTCTGGCCAATGCACCCGCCACGTCGCCGCTCTCACACCAGTCGAGGTGTCCGGCAGAACAAGGCGCGGCTCTGGGTGTCGAACATCAACATGGATTTGAGGCAAGCCTCGGCCGAGTTGCAGCTCAATCTACGACGTTTTGGCAAAAAATGACGAGTGAACACTCCGGCAGGTAAACGTCAAACCAATGCCATAGTAGAGAGGCACGGTGTTTCCAAATCACGGTCACCATATAAAAAGCTCTGTGACAGAATTTTGCATGGTTCTATGGCGATGACAACAAGGCGGCGTGATTCGAACACTGATGACTTTATTCATTGCGCTTAAACACTCTGTGGTGGCAAGAATGAGCAAATTGAGATACTGTGTATCCAGGAATCGCGTATATGACAGCCGAAATATCACTGAGGCCTCACAATAACAAGTCAATAAACATTAATGCCCACAAATAGCTTTCATTATACTGTAGATTAAATTGAGTTGCTGGCAAAAACCCCGTGGGTCAAACTAGCTTTCAGAACGAAGCAGCTAAAAGTTAAATGCATGGTGTCTCGAGATTCAAAATCGGGTGTCTACATAAAGTGACATTTTAGAAACAGCAAACTCACGTTGCATCGGTTGGTTACAGGAAGACGCAGAAGCCTGTGAGGCGATTTGGTGCTTTTTCGATACTGATCAGGCTGATTGTCGTCCCAGGTGGGGGTGTGTGGAAGAAAAACGACGCCCTTATCTAGACCCTCTAGAATGGCATAGGACTCCAAGGTCAGTTCCTCGTCAGCGCTAAACATTACACACCCACACTAAAATAATTTCAAGAAAGGCGTCATAAGGCATGGGGAGAAAATTGGCAAATCGCACCAAAAAAATCTTGAGCACCAACGAAATTCCAAACGTGCATCCACATAGCTAGCATATATTTTGCTGGGCTTTCCGTTCGTTTCAATCTGTGTGAAACGAGAGAAAACATGTAATTGACAGAGGCGAATGCAGTTAACCTTAAAGTGGGCTCTGCCAACAGGTTTATAATTAGAAACGGACACAAAATTAGCTGCAGGCTTTACTTGAAATCATTTGAACATGGAGAACATCTGCTGGCGTAAGGCGCGCACTTGTTTCAAAGGAAGCCGAAGTTGAAAAAAAAAGATTGGTGATGACACTACATGGTCCAAAACCGACCAATATTGCCAGATTCTGCTTGGGCGTGAAAAAAAACAATAGGAAGATTGATGGACATGTTCCAGGCGCATGTAACAGGAATATTAACAGAATGACATCACCCGCAGCCTGCTAAACTTCAATAAATGCAGCAAAAACTGCTTCGGCGCTAGCACATACACATGTTTGGACGTGTATTTATTAAAAGATGTAATAGGTCTATAGAGTTTAAGCTTGAGTCAGTAAAAAGTTCTGCAAGCGTCAAAAAAATTACTCAAAAGACAAGATTGCTCTAAAAACTCTACGGGCCTATGCACACGTGAAGACATTATGTGCTATGGATGGCAAGTGAGCTTGATAAGTCAGCAATTTTGAGGTAATGTATTAGTGACCTCAACAGTATCAAACGGCTCGATTTTACAGAATCAATTTGCGAAACGAGATTTTCTGACTTGTCATTTGAGTGCATTAGTACCTGAGGATAATTCTGCTAATCCAATAGCGAAATACGGTAGTGGTCAACTAACCCTCATTACAGTGTAATCGAAAATGTTTCGTAAATGGTATTTAACTATAACTTGACGTCAAAAAAATCTTTCGGAGACAAAATACAATACCTACCTCACACTAGATTCAAAAAATTAAATAATTTCCTCGGGACGCGGACAAATCTTCATAGCATGAAACGAAAAGTGAAAATGGAGCGAATGGAGACAGTTTCCTCGGATTACACAACACGCAGTAAATATTTGCTGTACGACCTAAAAGTTCAATTAAATGAATGAATACGGTTCTATGGTCATCGAAGGCGCAAACATGGCTTGGTATATTCGAAAGTAACTAACACAAAACTCCCCATAACCTATGGAAAATTTGCGTCCAGAGGAATTTTAGTGTAGACACTTACGTAAATTCAGTTCCATGCATTTTTACCACATCTTTTACAAAAACAGGCAGATTTAACGTCCTACCCCCAATAGCCCGAAATTAGCACTAAATAAATGCAGTAAAAATAGTTTTTAGTGGATTACTTTGGTGATTTTCAGCCAACGATCAGAAAATCAAAAAATACGACGGCATATAGTACTGCTGCGTTGTTGTGCGTGTAGTGTGGTGTGTGTAGTGTGGTGGTGTGGCGTCGGATTAGGGCGCAGACATGTTGGACCACCTGCTTCAGCCAATCCTGTGTCTCTCTGCGATCCAATGGCATGCGGGAAAGGAAGGCAGCCAACCAGAGAAGGACATGGATGAGATGCAGAATATAATGAGCGGCGTGGCCAGCGTTGTTGAATTGGATGGAAGGCGCCTGACGTGTGGTTCTGGCTTGTGATTTTTCAATAAAGCCAGTTCTGTTAAGTTTTTGGGCCACGTAGGACATGGAGGAGGTTAGGACATGGCCGCCACCAATCAATGTGGAACAGCTACGGAGTATTCTAGGGTTGGCAACATACTTACGTGGGTTTGTCAAAGGGTTCGCCCATATTGCGTCACCATTGAACAAACTGACGGAGAAAGGACGATTCTGGGCATGGACGGGTGAGTGTCAGCAGGCATTCTGCGACCTCAAAGCTTCTCTAGTCACGGCTCCAGTACAGGCCTTTCCCAATGTGGACACGGATGCGTCAGACAAAGCGATTGGGGCGGTACTTTCAAAGGTTAAACCCAATGGCTTAGAACACCCCATCGCATTTGGCAGCCGCGCCTTGTCGAAAGCTGAGCGCAATTACTGCACTACTAAACGCGAAATGCTGGCCTTAAAATTCTTTTTAGCACACTATTAGCGCTACCTTTTGGGCAACGAGATTGTGGTACCTACGGATCATCAAGCTCTCAGGTGGTTGCATAACTTTAAGGAACCTTCGGGCATTATTGAGAGATAGCTGTGGGTGCTGAGCCATTTCAAATATAAAGTTGAGTATCGCCCTGGAAAAAAGCATGAGAACGCGAATGCCTAGTCTAGGATTCCAGAACACACTGCAGACGTAGCTGCTATCTCCATGGAACAAACCACGGTTAAGAATTCGGGGGCTCAATCGGAAGATCCCTACACAAGCCTCATATACGATAGACAGCTCACGGGCATTCCCAAGCCTACAGGCAAAGAGATGGCTGGAAGCAGCCAAGGAGCGCAAGTGTTTTGGTCTGCTTGGAATAATCTTAGTTTTAGGGATGGTGTCTTATACTATAAGTTTTGACCAAGGTACGCCGTGTAGCAAATCGTGACCGAACTACATGTTAGTTTGGGCCACCTGGGACCAGCAGAAGTTGAGCAAGCTGCCCGTAGGCGATATTGGTGGCCAGCCATGAGCGACGACATAAATGATATTTGCACCAGCTGTCACCGATGTGATGAGGTCAGGTCTCCACCTCACGCAGCCAGAGCACCACTACAACCCATGACAGCGGGATTCCCAAATGAACTCGTTGGCTTAGACCTTATGGGGCCCTTACCTCAGACGGCAAGCGGTAACCGTTACATTTTAGTTATGGTTGACTACTTTACGAAGTGGGCAAACTCTGTACCCCTCCGCAAGGCAGGCGCTGTGTCTGTAGCAAAAAGATTTATGGCAGGATGGGTTGCTGACTTCGGAGTTCCCTACCAAATTCACACAGATAGAGGCAGCCAATTTGAAAGTCTATTGCCTTTGGAGCTGTGCGACTTGTTAGGCATTCACAGAAGCCGTACTCCGGCATATCACCCCCAAGGGAATGGGCAAGTCGAGCAACCTAACAGGATGCTCAAAACGCTCATAAGACTGCAACTCGATGAACGTGCGTTAAATCAATGGGACGACGCCTTGCAATCATGCCTACTTGCATATAGGTCTGCTGTCCACTCCTACGCGGGTCTAACCCCAGCGGCAATGACCATTGGACATGAGTTGCGGCTACTGGTCGATGTTGTGGCTACCCCACCTCGAGAGCCGGAATACATACGAACTTTAGCATACGTTGCTGAGGTACGACGCCAACTTTGTCGGCCTTTTGACCCAGCCAGGTCAGTTAGCCCTCGCTCACAAGAAACAGAAAGACTATTATGATAAGCGGGCCCACGGCACCCCTGTCGAGGAAGGTGACCTAGTGTGGATGGCTACCACGAATGTAGCGGGCGAAGGTTGGAAATTGCAACGTTCGTGGAAAAGACCTTATATGGTAGACACGGTCCTCAGTGAAAGGACATGGGTAATTCGCAGTCTGGACAATAGTCCAGATCAAGGGTTCACTGTTTACTTTAACAAGCTGAAGACCTATGTTTCGTCATTGGAGGAGACCGATGGTGAGCCCCTAAGGTACTGTGAACCACCCCCAGTAGACCATACTTTTGAGATGGCGGCAGTGGTGGTAGATGAGAAGCTGGGGACGGCTTCGGTCTAAAGGAAGGGGCAGTGTAGCGGAGCGACAGATTGCAGCCATATTGGCGTTAATCCATTAGTCGAAGCGACGCGAAACGGACCAACTAAAGAATAAGAAGAAGAGGACAGGGATATATAGAGTCCCAGCTTTCCCCATACGGAGTGACCAGATTGCAACCAGATTGTGACTAGAGTGTGGCTTATTACAGCCTTTATTAAAAGAATCCATTTTGTCTTATCCTCTTCTTGGCCATACTATGGGGCCAAAAACTACAGTAGCGACGGATCAGGGCGCTGACATATTGCAGCTCCTGACCTTAGAAATCCTGTGTCTCTCCGCGGTCCAGTGGCAAGCAAGAAAGATAAGCAGCCAACCAGAAAAGGACACGAATGAGATGCAGTACTTATTGAGCGGCGCGTCCAGCGTGGTGCACTCGCATGAAAGGCTACTGACTTGTGGTTCCGGATTTTGATTGGTCAATAAAGCCTGTTCTGTTGTACCAGCCTTCTACCTATTATCTTTCACAGTAATACGAGGAAAATAGGCAGCCAACACGAGACAGTTTTTGATGGATAGTGTATCAAGTTAAGAGAACTCGGATAAATAGCGCCTTCTGAAATGTTCTGGTTAAAGGTTTGCTGATAATTGCTGTCAATCTGAAAAAATTTTAATTAGGGACACAACCATGATGGACTCAAATGAATGGTGGCTGTAGAGAATTTATTAATTTTATTTTACAACCCCTTTTTTTCTCATTGAGATTAATTTGAAGCAGATATTAGTCCTAAATTTTAAATTGTATTCGGAAAAATTTTGCCACATATTGAAAATATGAAAAAGTTAATGCTTATAATTTTTACAATTCCGTTTTGAAACCAAAAAAAATTATCTTAAAATATTACCTCGAAGTATACTTATGGTAAAGATCGATGTTTAATGAGCTGAAACCTATCAAACTACTGTCATGAGTTTGATTTATTGAGAGAAGGAATAAAAGACTTTGCGACGTTTTTCAAAAGTTTTGATTGTTCATTTGGCAAATAAGCATTATTTTTGAACAAATATGCAATATTGAAAAATACTTCCAATGGCAACATATAGTTACTTTTCTAACAACCACTATTAGAACTAAGGATTTTATTTGATGTCCAGTGCTTAAGCCCAAATTTTCAATGCTGCAACATAATATCTTGATGCTTAAGTCTTCATGCTACCAGCATGATTTTGTCAAAAAAATGCAGTTTACATTGCTAGAATGCGAAGTCAATAATTAGTGTAAGGGCCATAAATGATATGATGCACGGTGTTTATTTGCAGCAAGCAAAACAATGCGGCCTCAGGGAGAAACAACACTATATTTTTCGAGTTAGATACAGGTTTGAAATAAATGGTAATGCCATACATTTGAGCAAAGGTAAATGAAGCATGTATGATATTATTGCCTCTTAGATAATTACTGAACTGACCTTTATATCTTATCCATACTTTTGTCGCATGTTTTGGTCTAATGACAACGAACTAAGCCTTAAATCTTATAATGGGGCATGCTCAAATGGCGCGTGTCCTTCTTTATTTAAAATGGCTAATTTTTGCTAAAAAGATCAGCCTCAATTTTGTTACACTGTTAACCGAAGTTTGGCTTCGGATTAAGGATATTTTTGAGCATTTTCCAGATCTTGACTGGTAGTCAGATTGTTAAGCAATGCGATTTCAGAATATCAGAGCAATAAAAAATTGTAGACACAATTTAATTTTTAATTAGTTTCCAGCGTGTACTAATGCGTGATTTAATCTTAAAACGCAACATAAACTAATTGTTCAACAATTTAATTTTTTTAATTGTATGCGATTACAAATTTTTAAAAAAAAACATACCTTGACTTTTATGCATTTTGCGAAATACAGACATAGAGTTGCATATAATTCGCAAAGTCTGCACTTGTGAAAATAAGGAGCTAAGATTGATGTCAATGTCGTTCTTTAATTTGATTGGATCTTGTTGTCCAGATCACCGCCCGTTTAAGGCACGAACCTTTGCGTTTATTTGGCGGTTCTGTTCGAGGATGCCGAACTACCCGTATAATTACCTTAACACAAAGGATAATGAACATCTTTTCTATCGAATTAAAATGGCCTCTTTCACGGGTTATACCGTGGGTATGCTGGAAGTATCGTTTCTGTTAATTTTTAGCCCTTTTCAATGCCTCTCTAAAGTATTTACCTGCACTTTTGTCCGGCCAAAACGTCTATACCAGTGGATGCCAAGCTGTGCGCATACTGGGCACTGGACGTAAGTCTAGGAGGTAACTAGATTTCTGAATGTAGTTGGTGCTGGTGCTACTCATGCTGTCGCTAGTTATCTAACAGCGAAGGCCTTGGGCAAGGACCACTCTGAAATAAGTCATGCAGTTGGAGGCGCTGCAGCGGGTTTTGTTATCCGTTGGAAAGGTACGCTTTTGTAACCCACAACTAATTTTTTATACATTAATCGCAATTTTGTTGGCAGTCTTCTTGCTTTATTTTGAGATAATCGATTTATTGTACCACTTTTGTAAAGTCAAGCGTGTCTTTAACGTAGGATTACTTCGTTCAACAATTTCTTACCCTTTTTTTTCACAATCATGTTTTAGTTCTTTATTGTGTTATTCTATTCAATGTAGCCAATCAGATGTAATTTTTTTTATCTACCGGTTACTGCGTCAATTTAAGATCTGAAGTTGTGTCATCTAAACATTTCACTGGGTCTTTTATTTTATAGTCATATTTGCAGAAACAGTAGTTAGACAAAGTCTTAGTCGTTAGTCTCTACTTTTGAATCAGTTGTGTTAAACTAACTTGGCCTTAAATGGATTGGTGCGTGAGTACTCCGTGGTGGCCTGATATTTTCTTTATTCTTCTTACTTCAGCTCCATTGCCGCGCCAAATTAATATGGTGTTAGGCCTAGTCACTCTCTCTGTCATAGGGAAATTTTGCGAGAGGGTGAGGCCCTCTTTCGCCAACGAAACCCCCTATCGTTGCCGCGGTCTCACTCCGAATGCCTTCATCTCGTTGAATCATCGCTACATGAACAAGAAGTGGCGAGAAGAGGAAGAGGAGTTGGAAACCTTTGTGTAGATTTTCCTCTATCGCTGCTTACCAGTAGTTTGTAATTCTAGTTGTTTCTTTCAATAAACTGCTCTGCGTAAAGCGTGGCTACACAATCCGTTATTTTCACTGTCGAGAAATTGCATATGGTGTGTGAAGAAGTGTTTGGTTTTCCCTCTCTAGCAGTATCCGGTGGTGTGGCAGGTTTCGTGGTTGGAATGAAAAATGCAAGGTAAACACATTAATCCCATGATAAGTTGTTTCAGGAAACAGTACGCATAATCTGGTTCGCGTATCAGTGGCTCTTCCACACCTCTGCATAGTCTGCGACGACTACATCGTCACGCCCAAGTGCACAGCCCGCCAATGCTTCACCTGTGGCCACCTGTTCCATGCCTCGTGTGTCGTAAAAGCGGATCGTTGTGCCGGGTCGCTGTCTCCGTCCTCAGGTGATGGCGACAGCGACATTCTGGCTGCCTGCGAAGCCTCTGCTTCTGTGGCACTTTCGGAACAGGTGAGGTCATTATGTATTGTCAAGCTGTAATAGTAGCTTGTTCTATTGTAGCCTGTTTATTCTGTTTTCCTAGCTCCTAACTAACTGGACACTCGAGCAGGTTCTCCAGTGGTTGGTAGTTGTTGGTCTTTCTCGCTACACGACCTTATTTCTCTCCTACAACATCAATGGTGAAACCTTGCCGTCACTTTTAAAGCCGCCAAGCCCTCTAGACGACATCAAGGATTCGTTTGCCCGGTGCTCGCTAAAAGGAGCTGTGATGGTATGGCTAGATAATGTTGTTACTTAATTAACGTCAGTAGTTAGTCTATGAACATTTGATATGCATATCTTAGACGTTGATTGGTGAACTCCCATGCCCCGGTGATCGCTTAGTGACCCCCAAAGACCCTGACACCAAATCTGCCGCTTCACTGCCACACACAGATCTTCGCATACGAAATTTTACAAGTGAACTGGCCTGCTGTGTTTGTGGTCTCCCCCTCCTTGGTGAGTTGAGGTCCCACACGGCAAGAATTGCCTTGATTTTCGCCTGTCTTTCATCGCTTTTTTTTTCAAAATCACATATATGCAGTGGCAATAGATTACTCCGGTGGCTGTTTTTGTTGCCGTCGAATTCCTTTTCTAATAACGACCCGTCGATCGCTGATTATCCAAATTAAGTAGTATTATCGTCTAAAACAGTCTGATTTCCCCGTTTTGTCGACGTATTCCCAAGCCTAGGGCTAGTCCTTCATTGGCAATTACAAGGAGCGCGATTTTTGCCTCACTTCGCTGTGTCTAATGCGTAAAACAACCACAATCTGTCACTCCAAACGGCGCGCGTCTGTTAATAAGAAAAATTTTGGCAGAACCAAACGCTGTCTGGCTGCTCCTCCTGTAAACTGACGTCTAGTGCTTTTTTATCATTTCCGTGTGCGCTGCGCCTGGTGTATACCTAGACGTCGTATTTACACCTGCTGCCGTTCAAATTTGATTCGGTCCTATAAAGGGTTACGCGTTGCCGGCTGCTGTTTCTACCTAGATAGTTATTTAATGATTACTTAATTAATATCAGTAGTTATTTTGTAAACATTCAGGCCTCCAACATGGTGCAAAGTAGTGGTGACTG